CTGACTGCTGACTGCTGACTGCTGACTGCTGACTGCTGACTGCTGACGGCTGCTGCTGCTGCTGCTGACTGCTGACTGCTGACTGCTGACTGCTACTGCTACTGCTACGCTGGTGCTGCTGCTGCTGCTGCTGCTCCTGCTACTGCTACTGCTACTGCTACTACTACTACCCCAACCATCCTCAGTGTGCTAGAATATTTTTTTTTTGATTACCTTTTTTATTATTTTTTTATTGATCCCCGTTGAATATGTTTTTTTGATTCTATTTTTATTTTTTTTTGATCCCTTACCCGTGTATAGGTGCGATTAGGTGTGCAGGACAACGCCTTGAAGACAAGGCGGACGGAACAATTCCAACACATTTAAGTTGAACCCTTCTTGTTTTGAACGCCAAGTCGTTGTCCTACTCGTGGCCCTACACACGTGGACCTCTCATCCACAGGCACATACATGATCTTCGGTCGCTTTGTAGTTTACCACACGCATCTGAATCATAGTTGATTGGGTGTTTTGTACATATCCAGGCTTGGTTACACAGACCTTTCGGTCGCGATCACCCCAAATGTGCCAAAACGGTCAGGAGTCTAAGCGACCGAGTCTCTGGACATCACACCTGACCGGGACTGCCCTCACGGTGACCGGGACCGGTAGACACCGACCGTCGGTGCCCTTCGCGGGGCGGTCCTTCAGGATCGATCCTTTCAGGATCGGACCGACTCGTTCACCGGCGGAGGTCGAGACCGTGGGCAAGGCCTCGGACGTCGGTGTCGCAGCGTCTGGAAGCTGAGGATGAACCAAATGCAGATGGCTGGACATTGGGTCGGCGTGTACGAGTACAACAACCTACTTCAGGCCGACGACAAGCATTCTCTCTTTGAAGCGAAGAAACGATGAGCAAGATGACTAGGCCAAGACCCCCAAACAATTCCAACAGTAATGTCGACCCTTGATTTATAAACTCCCCCCCCCCCTCAACAACCAAGGCCTCCAATATAATGTATAAGAAAATCAATCAATTGATAATTTAATAAGGAATCCTTAGCTAGCTACCTCTGGAGCTACTCTGGCAATACTAAAATAAAAGGAAATTAAGAAACCTAACTTTGAAGACATCTGGAATATTAATTAGAATAAAAGGGAATGAATCAATGGACATAGAACTAAAAGTGCGCACTGACTTTTGGAAACTTTTGGAAAGCTTCACAACTAA